AGGCCCCCGGGCCCCCCCAGCCTGGTCCCAGGAAGAGGGGGAGGGCTGGGGGCATCGGGTGGCTGGCTCGAGCCGTGCTAGGTGCAGGGTCTGCTAGCTGGGTGCTGGCAGGCTTGCACCTGGCACGGGCACCGTAGCCAGCCCGTGGCCCTTTCAGGGGTCCAGGACCGGGAGGGGGGCATACGAGTTTCCCTGGTGTTGGCCAGAGTGGCCACCAGGGAAACCTGGGGAGGGCTAGCCTCCTACTAGTTCGAATTAAGGGGCTACACACGCCTTAATTCGAACTAGCTAGTTCGAACTAGGCTTAATCCTCATGGAAAGAGGTTTTCCTAGTTCGAACTAAGCGCTCCGTTAGTTCGAATTAAATTTGAACTAACGGAGCGCTAGTGTAGCGCCTATGAAAGTTAGTTTGAACTAACATCCATTAGTTCGAACTAACTTTGTAGTGTAGACATACCCTCTGAGTAGCCATCAGTCTCCACATCCGTGCTGAATAACAGCCTCTGAACTGATCAACTATTGTTAATTCTTTACCCGGTTAATTCTTGGAGCTGCTACATCACCTGTTCTTGCCGGGTAGAGAACTGGAAGCCATCAGCTTGGCACTAAGTCCTTTGTGAATTGATTGGCTCAACCTGCTGCCTAGACTGAGCATGTTCCAGTGTCTGGAGGGTCCCAGGCTGCTTGTCTGGTAAGCAGATGAGTCTGGTTTCTAATCCATTTAAGTCCCTTTTTTTTCCTCCCTAGGGCGCCAAGGGACAGGAAGGAGCCAGAGGAGAGCCAGGAGATACTGTGAGTCATTGCTTCACTGAGGGCAGATTTCTCCATGGGAACACACCTGACGGCTTTCAGAAGTAGCTGCCTTACAGACTAATAATATTCTGCAGCTCCAACAAGAGTTGTGACTCTGAGCAAAGAGAAATACAAACTGCTCAGCCATAGGTGCTCCAGGCAGTTCAATGAACATGGTTCCTGATTGCCCGAGTTTTGTTTGTGCAGTCGGATACTCAGATGAGCCCCTCTCCGCCCCCCCCGCCCCCCCCCCTCCC